ACATGATAGAAACAATATGAAACACATAAGTTCCGTCATTATAGAAATATAAAACCTACTACCTCCGTCCCGCTATGATTGTCCCATTTTACCTTATCGGTCCGTCCTAATAAGATTGTGCCATACCAAATTTGGTAAAGTTTGTGTGACTCTAAATCATTCTTACTTTATTCTTACTTTATCAATTCAATATCAACCACATAAATCACTTTTTATTAATTTGCGTGTCACTTCCTTTTGTCCCATTGATAGCGGGACGGAGGGAGTAATTTGTGGCGGTTAGAAACAAAAAATATGAGCTTAATTAGTAAAGTGGATAAGAGTTTTTTAACGTACCAGATGATGTGATAAATGCTTGGCCAGCGTGATTTATGGCTTTCCTTACTGAAGGAATTCTGGTACGAGCAATTTTCTGATATTGGAGAGAGAGCAAATTAAAGAGGCTTATCAATAATTCATATTATTAATAATGGGTAAGTTTGGATTGTTATAGTAAAGTTTTTATGATTTATAAACACATCATTTACCAAAGGAACGCCAACGACAATAGCAGCCACTATAGCATACCTTGCTCCTTCAAAAAGTGCCTCTACAAAATTGAAATCATAGTTAAAAGCTAAGATTTATTAACCAAGAAAATGGCAAACAAAACTTTCCTTTTTTACAATGTTACATTTTTAAAATTTTTGCTCTCATCTCTCATGAAAAAAATGTTACTCCCTCCGTTCCTATTATAACTTCCAACTTTCCTTTTTCGTCCGTTTCAATTAAAACTTCCACGTTTCCTTTTTTGTAAAAAATTTGTGATTTACAATATTTCTTACACATTTCTCTCTCCTCTTCACAACTCTCCACCACACAATACCCACTATCTTAAATTGTGTGCCAAACCTATTTGGAAGTTATAATAGGAACGGAGGTAATAACTACGAGAGTAAAAGTGTCCTTTGCAAATTATACAAACATAATATAAGAATAATATTATGAGATAGAACACAAGGAGTAATGTTGAAAACACATCTATTCATGTACCTCTCACGACTTCTTGGGCCTTCGTGGAATTTGAGGATGTCATTCTTTCTTTCAATGAAATTTTTTATATACGTCCAAAATTTTATTAGGGATTTACACATTTGAGACTCAAATCCGCAACTTTCTTCATTGTTAGCAAAAAAATGTGGAGGAGGTCTGAATGTTCTCTCAAGATATACTTTCATCTATAACTAACCGAATTTTTAGCTCAACCATTCTTCATATACATGGTTCACATATACTCTCTCCCCCGCCCCCACTCTCCAGAGGCGGAGGTGGAGGGGTGGCCAACCGGGCCCCGATCCAGTCCAAAATTTAAAAATGCTTATATTTTTAATGTAAATATTTACGTGTAAAAATTTATCTGTAAAAATTCTTTGTACCGGATCATCCTAATTCTTCCTCCTTGCTATGCCCTGCCTTGCTATGCCCTGCCTTTATATATATATGCACATACGTACATATATGTGAACTATCATTATTTTTATTTGTAATCAAAAGACTATAATGAATTATTACATGTTCTTTTCTTTCATGCATCAAGTCCACCACAGCATGTCATCAACCAAACTTGTGCATAGTCTCGGTAAAGAGTGGACTAGTTTATAATATGAAGTGGAGTATTATTCTTTCGAACAAAATTTATGATGTGATACAGTTATGTTATTTGACAATTTTGCAACGATGAGTAAATGTTAGTTTTTTTAATGTTGTGTTGTATATGATGATTGTCCGACTAAAGTTAGTATTTTGGTGGAAAATAATTTAAGTGTTGCTGTTGTGTTTTTAAAAAATTTAGTTTAAATGTTGTCAATAATTATTTGATATAGACATTAAACTCATTTTCTATATCATTAAAATCAAGTTTTGTATTATTAAGTTCTTGATTTGAAATATATAAAAGTTATATATATATATATATATATATATATATATATACACACACACACACACACACACACACTATTCTCCGTTCTTTAATTTCTGCAACAGTTTGACTTTCACGTTTGTCAACGCACAACTTTGACTGTAATTATATTTAATTATATTTAGTAAGCATTATAAAAGTTTGATATTTTGAAAATTCACATTCATAGGAATTTAATACATTTTATACGTAATAGTTTGATAATGTATATTAGTAGAGAATCGTGGTCAAAGTAAGGTCTGTGAATAGTACAAAAATCACAATGTTGCAAGAATTAAAGAACGGATGAAGTATATAATAGCTTACATTATAAGGAGTATTAATTTATTGTATTTAAATAGTCCGTATTACATATAGCACACTTGTCACCTAGATGTCACTTAAGTAATAAGGCACTCGTTGGCGCCACATATTGTCTAACCGTTGTGTCAAATTAACCATGAGACTTGTGCATGGTTTGAGGCGGACATTCGCTAGTTTTTTTTTTGTTTTACATTTTAATAGTTTTTTGTGAAATATCTCCCGTATGAAAATATGTGTGTTTTGTGTTTGTAGACATGCTTTAGGGGTGTTGGAATCTACTTCATAAAATTGTTTCTGCTTCCTCAGTGAACAGAAACAATCATTAGAGTGTAGAATATAATTGAAGTACTTGTAAGTGTTTTAAATTACTTCTAAAAGTAGCTTGTTTATAAGTTGAGGGAGATTATGTAAAACATAATCATTTCTAAACACCTCCTAAGTAACACGGATTTCCATCTACTTATGTATATGTCCTATTAATATAAGGAATTACCCCATCCATTGCAAAAACCTCTTTTTTCCTTTTCTATTTGTCTTACTGTAAACTTTCATTTCCGTACATATATGATTCATACAGTATAATTTTTTCCCTCTTCAAAACTTTTGACTACACAACCTAACTTTTATAATAAGAATTATTTATTAGGCTGAGACATTATATATTTGACAATATTAGAATTTAGGCTTGAGTACCCTAATCTAGAAGAGGGACTGCGAGTAGTCAAAACAAAAGTGGTTAGTAATTTTGCCTTAATCTTTTGACCTGTTTTCCTCTAAAACATATTTACTAATAGGACAATGCTATTCATTTTAATTATAACATGACATTGTTATTTTAATACAATAAAGGAATGCTATTATTAATAAATAAAGACATTATTATTTTAACTATTATTAGTAAGGAATCATGAATAAATGAATATTATTGATATTTAAATTCAAGACTTAAAGTATAGTCATTAGAAACAAAAATAAATGTGACTAACCTGATAGAAACCCGCACCGAATCGATCTGGTCAAAACGGGAAAGAATGCATTGATTAGGATAATTGACATGAAGTGAGGAATAATCGTTTTGTTTTTTTATGGATAACAATAGAATTACGATTGTATACATGTCCGCCTTGTTACCCGTCTCGTCATACCCGATCGTAGATGACCCGCTTATTTTAGTTATATTTTGATCTCATATTTTGATATAATTTGTACCACAACTAAAAATTATGAGATTTATCTTCATTCCATTGTGTATGTACGGATGTGTTGGCAACACTGTGTGGGAGAACCGAACTCCTTTAAGAATACACCTCATTGGGTTTGATAATAAACTTGAGAGTCTCGTTTGGTTATTATTGGTTTTTTGCTTGTGTAATAAAAGATTCACATTTTTCACATTTAGAATAATATTCTAAAAAATCACATTTAAATATTTGTAGTCTTAAATCTATTTGTGTCTTCTTCTTCCTTGTTAGAATCTCACACGGGAAAAGTTTGAATCAACAAAGTGTTATATTAAGACATGGATTAGTCCTCCTATCAGGTTGACCTTTAGGTTGGAAACTCAAATCTTAACATGGTATCAGAGCCACATTGATTAATGGTGCAGACCCCCTTCTTGTAAATCAACAGATGAATGAAACCTGTAAGGAAGTTTTTAATGGGGCTAGAATTTTCTGGCGTGCTCTGACAAAAGTATGGTCTCTGTATATTTTATAACTATTCAACTCTGGTCTGATTTGATTTTGTCTGATCTAGTGCTGAAACAATCCAAATAAAACATGGCGGTCCCGCTTTCGACCCATTGACACATTGATGTTGTATATCAATGACTCTTTAAGTAAATGGTTACTCGTGATTATATTCATTGCTCATTGAATTGATTATGAATTTGGATACAAATTAGATGTTGGATAACAGGTGTTAACACTTGACACAATGGGGAAGTTAACCAGTGGATCGGGTGCGATTATATTTGTAACCGTCCCGACCTTCTTCGATTGCCATTTTTTATACATTGTCATTTAGCTATTCCCCCTGTCCCTTAAAATATTACCATTTTGTTTTTTTATCAATCATGTTTAAATTTGACTAATTATATATTTTTATATAAAATTATTTATAGTATAAAAATGACATGGAAATGTTTTATGATAAAAGTACCATAATATTTTTACCACCAAAATGTTATACTAATCAAAGCATGATACAAATTTTACCATAATTGACTTGAAATATCAAAGAAAAAAAATGACACCTCATCCTTGAAGCTCACAGACAATTATCTAGAATGATGTAAATTGAGAATGAAATTCTATCTCAAATTATTGTTTAGAATTGAATATACGAGAAGGAATAAATTTCACTTTTGATCATACGTGTTTTAGGTCAATTCTACATTTAATCCATATCGTTCATTTTGTCCACTTTTGATACATGACTATTGTATTTTCGCCCACATATGGTCTTTCCGGCATTGTTTCCGATGTTAAAATTGCAGAAAAAGGACCACAAACGATTAAAAACATTAGTCAGGTACCAAAAATGAACAAAGTGAAAGATATGAACTAAAGTCGAGATTGAAACAAAACTCATAAGACCAAAAGTGGAATTAATTCAAAAAAAATCTGTGTGACAAAGTTGAAAGAAAGGGAGGTAGTAGAACGGAGTATATACGAAGTACATAGTAGTATATACGGAGTACTACGGAGTACTACGTAGTATATCCTAAAGTGCAATAGTTGATACTCATGGGTCCTGAGTTGTAAATACGGAGTATGCTTTTTGGCGCTCAAGCAGTAAAACCCTACTCTTTAGGAAGTACTGAAGTGGTCGAATCGTTCATCGCGTAAGGGTAGCAGTGCATCTGGAGTTCTGATTTGGGACGAAAAATGTCTGGATTAAGACTCTTCACCGTCAGAAACAGTGCCGGAGAACCGGTCCTAGACGCTGGTAACGGTGAGGAACTAGTGCATGTAAAACCCGCCGTATCCCTTGTGCTCGGAAACCACCTTCCTCTATGCCCTGGCACTCTTTACATCACGACCAGGTATGGCTTTATCGTGCTCTCTGTCCTTTCACAGGTTTATGCTATTTTTTTTTAGTTTATATGACTTTTAGTAGTTAAATTTGAAGGCAAGTGGTATGGTTGAGCGATACAGATAAAGAAATAGGGTATGCGGTCGATTTCTTTCATATTTCACTTCATGCCGTGTCAAGGGATCCTGAAGCTTACCCTTCTCCTTGTTTGTATGCCCAGGTAAAGTTTATCGTAAATCTGATAGGATTTTGAATTGCATCTCCCCTAATTGGGAATTTAAAAAAATAGTGATCTTGTGTCCATCCTTATTGTATTGGAATGCAAGTATTATAGTTCTATTAATTCTATATTTTGAGATTCTAATGAAATAGCTAAGTGGGGTTTACTAATTGAGAAATCTTTTCTAAGCTTAAAATTAGAGATCAAAAGTAGTGAACATTTTTTATCGATTCTACTTTTCCTTTCTGCAATTTCTTGAATTGAATAGTTCTGAACGGACCTAAGTTATGTGGCATTGGTTTCTTGCATGTGTTTCTTCTATTGTTCTTAAAAGATTCGTAGTCATGAACAGCTGTATTTGCTCTGGTTGTACTCTATTTATTTTCTTATGAAAAGTGTTCGTATATTATGGGCAATGTTACTAAATTTAAAATATTTCTTCAGTTTATTCAAATCATGTGTTTATTTGTACGATGTGTACATCAAGTAAAAAGAACATATTCGGTTTTACTTTTGAAGATCGATATTGGGGATGAGGATGATGACTTAGAGGGCACTGATAGTGAGCATAATGAAACATTAGATGTATCGAAGATCACTGAGATGAGGCTCGTTCCATCAGATCCTAATCAAGGTGATGTGCGTCTATGTTCTTCCTATTTGCTTCAGCTTCTTCTTGGTATAAACCTTGCACTATTTTTTTAATTACTATCATGGGTTTACTTTTTAAAATTTATATGTTGGTTTAACTAAGTTTATTATGTGCTGGTTGTTTGACACTTTTTTGGCAAACTGCATGAGACATTCGGTGAGTTTGGTCAAAAGTAAGCTCCCATTTTGGGAGAAATGAAGTGTTTGATACTGATTCAGGTTTTTTGGGTTTTAGAAGGGAAATTCTATTTTTATCATCGTCATCAACATTATTATTATTATTGTTATATATTAGATATTATTTATTACTTCCATCCCGTCAGTGGAGAAGACTCATTTTAGTTTCCCATTCTGGAGATGCTATAGTGGAAGAGCTGTTTCAATTTTTTTGTGAATGCGCGGAGTTAAATCCTGAACCTATTGAAGGTAATTGTCATTTTGTATTGACTTCTACTTTTTCTTCTGTTAACCATCATTACTATAACCTTGTTTCTGTCTTTACTTCTCTAGAGGAGGAACAAGAGCACAATTGGATTTTTAGTGCTGAGCAGTTAGAAAACGAGACAGCTGGTATGAGCTCAAACGGGACTTCCATTTTTTGTTTTGATTATGTTCTATTTCTATTTCTATCCCTTAACCAAGTAACCTTGCTGAAATTGCAGACGGGATTGAATCTGAATGGATGAATGGCTCAATTCCAATTGGTTGTTCTAATGGAGATGACTTATCTCATGCAGTGCTTCAGGTTCCTTACTGTACTCTCTGTATAGGATTTTAACCTTTGTTTGGTTGGAGGATTTTGGAGGGGAATGAATTAAAGTGGAATTGTGTGTTTGTTTAAGAGAGTTAATGGTGAAGTTAGGGAGGAAGAAAGTCGGTGAGATATAGAAGCATCCCAACCCTCAGATTTCTTTCCCTCAATTTGGAGAATCTGGGGGAGTTGTTTTTATTCATGATTTCGTTCACTTTTTTCTCAAAATTTTCTGCACTATTATTAATGGATTTATTGGCATATATATGCGTGTTTATTACTACGTATATTTCTTCTAAAAATAATGAAATGCTAAACTTTTATATATTATCCCCAGCATACTATTATACTAATTTCTCTCTGCTTCATTGGACCAAACACAATCTTTTTTTAATCACTTCAAAATTCCTCCCCTCTCCCACATTTCTTATCCTAGTTGTAGTTGGTTGTGTGTGCAACTGTTCCGAGATTCCCCCCTCCCCTTCCCTCATTTATTATTCACCCTCCTTCCAACAAATTTACTGCCGAAAATGGTATCATGATGCTGCCAGTTTTGGATGCAGCTTCAAGTTAATGATAATCGATTTGAGGATGCAGAAGAGATGGATAGTGATGATATTAACCAACATAGAGGATCTGCTACCTAGTAGAAACGACATACAACGATTTAATCTATCATTCTTGCTATTAGTACCATGTCACATTTCTGTTCGTTAGTACTAATGACATGGAGTCATGGTGTATGTCAATTACTAATTTAACAGAAGCAAGTAGAGTTTGCAGTTCATTAGCTTTGAAAGTCTGTTGTGTAATCCAAGTATGTTGTGCTTTGATAGCAGCATCCTCTGCTAATTGTTATGTTATTATAGAATTTAGAGCATGAAGCTCTTATCTTCTAATCCTATTTAATCATGTAACATTCTCCAAATAATGTGCAAGATATAAAGTAGGCTACAAACTTGTAGTTTTGGTAACATGACAGTTTCACAAACAAAGGGTAATAATGTTTAGAGAACATGATTGAAGGCTTGAAGCAATGAAGCCTTGAAGGCTGAAGCCGACGCCAAGATAGATATGCATTTTCGTTATAGTTCAGGAGTATAATTTACAAATTAGTTGGTTGGTTGTGATTTGTGAACTTGAAAGAAAAGTACCAGAAGTAGGCATGGACCGGTTCGGGCCCGGGCCTGGATGGGCCTCGGTTCAAGAAGGGGAGGTCCGGAACCGGCCTGGGCCTCGGTTCTATTTTTTTGTTTTTTTTTGGCTTTTACTAGTTAACCCCCAACCCTCCCCCTCACCCCCTAACCAATCCTAACCACCTCAAATGGCCCAAAATACCCAACCCAACCCAAAAACTTAAAAAAAATCAAAAAAAAAAAAAATTGGCCCGGGCCGGTTGGCCCGAACCCGGCCCGGAACTGGTTCACTGGGCTGGGCCCGCACAGTAGCGGGCCGGTCCGGTTCCGGGCCGGTTGGCCCGGCCTGAGTCCACCCCTGACCAGAAGTTTGTGTTTCGAGACTTCACTTGTAACTTGTTACTTCAAGAAGTTCATGTGCTAACCTAAAGCAAATAGAAAACCCTCTCGCAGAACATTCTCAAACTCATTAGGAAAGAAGAGATTCCATTTTCTGTAATTCTTCCGAGCCAAACTGTAAATGTAATACCATTATACCAAATATTACCAATAGTCCAATACCACCACCATAAATTATGCCCAGAAACACATGGTAACCTCTCAAGTCTCAACCCTTACAAGAACAATCCATCCATCTTAAGATTCCACTCAACTGTTATATATACAAGGAGACATACATAATCTCGATGAGGAAATAGTACATTTATACAAGGAAGTGGGAACTAGGGCCAGTTTGGTCGGAGGATTCCATAAGAGATGGAATGGGAGATGTCATATTTAAATTTTAACATTTAGAAAAATTGAAATTAAGTGAATACAAAATAGTACTCCGTATATAGGAATGCATGGTCTAACTAATTATATACTTATTTGTAATAAAAAACTAACAAATTTAGACAAATAAATGAAGTAAAAAATCAGTCCTCCCCTTTCCTCTCCTCCGAAATCCCCCAACCAAATCGACCCTTAAGGAGAGTAAGGGTGAGGCAGGGGATTGACAGATGTCATTTGTGTAATTTTCTCCACCATTTTCTCAACTTCTTTCTCTATTAGTTGGTAAAAAAATCAATCACATTTATGTAATTTTGTTGTCTTCTTAGAGCTCACTTTGTAATCTATATTTTTAGCTTATGAGTTAGTTTTTTTCAAAACATGTAATTTTTAATTTTGATTTGCTGAATTGTGTAACAATCAAAATAAATAAGGTCGAAGTAAGTTTTTTGAACAAATTCAATGTCAAATACAATGTCATCAAACAAGCTCTTAGTTAAGACATAAGGTACCACATAGTTGGACTCGGGTCGGGCCACCCGGCCCGTGGACCGGCCTGGCCCGCTACTGTGCAGGACCGGGACCGGCCCGGTTCTCGGGTCCGGGTCCGGGTCGGGCCTAGGCCCGGGGGGTAGGGCGGGTCCGGGCTCGGGTCTCACATTTGGCGAACCGGCCCGGCCGGGTCGGGCCCGGGCTCGGGCCAAATTGATTTTTTTTTCAGTTTTGGGGTTCCACCCGGGTTGGGCTTGATGGTTAGGATGGGTTTGGGGGTCGTTTGGGAGGGTGGGGGTGAGGGGGGTTAGGAAAGCAAAAAAAAAAGAAAAAAAAAACGGAGGCCCGACCCGAACCCGGTGGCTACCCGGGCCGGTCCCGGGTCCACCATTCCTGAACCGTCGGCCCGCCCGGGCCTAGGCCCTACCCGGACCCGGCCCGGACCCGAGTCCACACCTAAGGTACCAGGGGCGTAGCTCACCTGGTAAGAAGAGGGTTACACAAGGGAGAAGTTTCAGGCTCAACTCCAAATAATGACTTGGAATGAAACTCCATTTTTTTACATCAGAGTGTGATCAAAGCTTAATTTTGACAATTAAGCTATAACTAGTCTTCTACCCGTGCGTTGCACGGGATGTAATTAGATACATTATAAATGTGAATATTTGAAGCAGTTACAACTTACAAATGTATATACATAGACATAAAATAGGTTACCTTCATCCTAAAAAAATCTTCTCATTTACTCCCTCCGTCCCCCTATTATTGTCTCATTTCCTATTTACTTGGTCAACACAAATCACTCTTAATCTCTTACTTTATGTATCACATTTTTATCAAATTTGATTCTGGTTTTTTTGCGACTTTGTAAATCTTTTAATGTAGTTTCTGAATATGTAATTTTTTTTCCTAAAAATAATTTGAGTGCGGACAAGGATTTGTTTGCTTTATCGTCGGTCAAGCATCGTAAACCGCAATGAGACAATAACAGGGGGGCGGAGGGAATACTATTTTAGGATGTTGCAATTTTTTTCTCATTTTCCTTGGTGAAAGGTTTTGTATGACTAATATTCATTTACCATTTTCTTACTCAACCATAACAATACATTTATACTTTATTCTCACTTTCTTAATAAGCCTACCAAGTCGAGCCGAGTAGAATTATGAGCAAGCAATACACTACAAAAAGATATGAACCCCACTAAACACAAGTGTCTTTTCTCTCGTACTCTTTTTGATGAACATATCATCATCTTCATCTTCTGTGATTTTGGAAGGAAGAGAAATAAAGCCAAAAGACGTTTATTAAATAATGTTGTTGATGTAAATTTTTTGTCATTTTGTTAAAGGGAGATTTCCCAAAATAGGAGTAAATGGAGTTTGGAATTCTAAAATAGAACTACTATGTTTTTATTCGCAAAATAGGACTAACATGACAGTATTTACTGTCATCTTGTAGGCGTGACTGTCAAATAGTTGCAGTACAGTGCATTTAACATGACAGTATTAATTATAATTAATGACAGTATTTTTCAATTATGGTTGTATTTTTCATACATGGCGGTGACAACTCCTATTTCGGGAAGAAAAACATAGTAGTCCCATTTTGGAATTCCAAACCTCATTTACTCTTATTTTGGGTAATTTCCCTTTGCTAAACTTTTAAACATATTTTTAATGCCCAATTCTATGAATACGATCTTCTGCTTGAATAAGGTCACATGAAATATATGATTTATTGGTATGCGTAAATTTAAATTTAAAATGAAATAATTACATATTTATAATTAAAATCAAGATGGCTCAGCTCCTCCTCCCCTCCTCCTTGAGGGGTATGATCTTTGTGTTCTCAACTCTGCACCATAGCCCATAGAATCAAGTAATCAACCTCATGCCACCCCCATGGCCCACGAAATGATTACCACGTAAAGAGCCTCTAGACGGCACATCTGGAAAGACTGAACTACCCCTTTCTGCAGGATCATACGTCTCGTTGACACACTTGGAGTTTGACTGCCATTGACAGTTCTAACTTCTAAATACCAAGCAAAATGAAATGTATTTGTCTTGAGATCACATCAAAATCTTATATGCTTGTTCTACATACAATATATGTATGTAGTTTTTTCATCATACATTATAAATCAAAATGTGATGTCTATCACTCGGGAGCTTGTAAAACTGTAATAATTTATTTTATTAATAAGGAGTACATTTTATGTACTATTTTTATTTATTTTATAAGTACCGCTCCTTAATATATACTACGTAATACTTATAACAATTCATGCGATATTTTACTTTAATCAAGGAAAAGGTATATAGGGAGAGAAAACAACTTAAACTATAAAGTTACAGAAAGATTATAAATTGTAACCCCTAAATAGTTTTTACTTATAAATCTGTAGGATGTTCTTTGTTTATCGAGTTTGAGCATGTTCTTTGTTTATCCTAAATCCTAATATGCTATATGTAGGATGTTGGTGCTGGGAAAAGTTAAGAATAATTGTACACTAACCTGTGACAATTGCTTTTAGGGTTTGAGGTATGTCAATATCCTTTTATGTGGATGAATAGACGAATATTGTCGAGATGATGCTTTATATATAAAAAGATTTGGCGACGGAGATAATTGTGGGTTAAATGGGTGATGAGGCTTATCTTATTTATATAGGGGTGATGCAAAATCGTTTGGAAAAACTGCGGCCATCCCATGCTTACCTATTTATCTAAATGTTTGGAAAGTCGATCATCATAATATTTGATTATAGTCTTTGTGAGCTTCTGAACGAGTTGCTTATCTATATACTATATAAAAACAAAATAGTGGAAAGCAAAATGGGCGAGAAACTTGTGACATGCACGTGAGAAAGTATTTTGCCTACACCTACTACTTTGATCGATCTACTACTCAACCGCTTCGGAAGTAGTATTTATTATATGTTTGATTGAATTGATAATTTGTAAAGTAATTGAAAATTGAAAACAACATGGAAGATGTTCCTCATGTGAGATTTGAGCTTCTCGAGAATTCATGATTCCATATATTTGTCCTATTAAGTGACTTACGAGTATTAAAGATTGCTATTCCACAATTGTCAAATTAATGTTCTAGAGCTCACTTTGGCAATTTTTAAGTGTTTCAGTCGTTACATATTGCGATGATGTTTCTGGAGCATGATGTTTGGACTTCTCATGATTTTTTAACTCTAGAAATAAATGGTTGTCCAGTTGTCCTGTATAAGAAAAGCAAATAATCAATCAAGTAAAGTAATGGGAATTCTAAATTTAGTGGACACAAATGGTTGTCCTATATTCAATGGTTGTCCAGACACAAAAAGCAAATTATTTTTTAAAATAAATGGGAATTCTCATGATTTCTGGAGACAATTTTGTGTTTGTCCAGACTTTTCATTGATCTACTACGGAAGATGAGACAAGAAGATGACAAAAAGCAAGCGTTTGAATCACTCATTTGGGATTGCATGCAGAAGGATAAGAAGGGGGAGGACCACCAAGGATTTGGATTCCACCCACAACATTGCAGAAGGTGCTAGGAAAAAAAATGTGGTTGCTT